TAATAGTGTCACTGCGCTATACTATATATCTATCCGATGTAATACTATATCAATGATTCATTTTAATGGGACTTTTTTATTGTGTTGCATCTCGTGAGCATGAGGAAGACATTATGTCGGAAATAAAATAAAGAAACCACCCACTTCTGACATAACGCTTTTCGCTGGTAGGACAAGCGCAGAAGGACACACCCACCATCCGTCCACCACCACCGTCTAATACTTGAAGCTCTTCCCTACTCCTCTCTTCGTAAGTAACCGTAGAAGGAAGTCTTAATTAGTACAAAGAAAAGATAACTATTCCTGTGTACCTTTTAGACGGGTGGATTAATGCCAGACCTTATCTGGTGGTTCACGCCTAATAGTGATTTTATTTCTAAGATAAGTCTCAAGCTTTTATACCTACTTATGACCACTGGTGGAAATTGCAAAGATTTTTTTTTTAAATTCCAGCACCAAAGGATAAAGATACAAAAAAATATATTCCCATAGGCACTACTGGTGAACATTGCCACGACTTATTTTTTTATATTTCTGTAGGCCGCCTCTGGGGGACAGCGCCGGCATTACAATTTAAAAAAAATATTTCCTCTTTGTTCGCTAATGGCGCCCAGCGCAACACTTTTTACTATTATTTCTATTTTTTTATAATAAGTACTTATTACGTGTTATTTTATTTTTAGTATTATTTTTGTGCTGTCTGTTATATAGTAGTGGCGAGTTTAAAATTAGCGTATGAAATGTATTTTAGCCTTAACCTATTAGGGTATAACACAATATTGACAAACTTCCGACACAAAAAAAAACAGTATAAAGCCCAAACATGGTATATAATGCTGTAGTTTTCTGAGGAGTTGGCTATCCCGCAGACTACTTTATGCAGCAGCAAGTTCCAGGCTACCATGTCGTAGAAATACCATCAAAGTAACAGTATGCCAAATTTCATATCATTAGAACCTGTGGATTTTAGCGAGATCCCTTCATCACCTAGGAACTGAACTGACGATCGTTAAAATTTATAGCTAAGAACCATCTCGATCACATCGGCTTTCGAAAAAACAAATCCGCATCGAAAATTGTCCATCCGTTCGGGAGCTATGATACCACAGACGGACAGATACACAGATACACCGGTTAAACTTATAACACCCCTCGTTTTCCATCGGGGGTTAAAAATAAGGATATCAGACAATAGGTATGATCGTATTTAACGCGGTTAACACGGTTTTATATATATATTTTTGCATAATAGTTGTTTTGTTCAAAGTTAACAAGTGTTCTACAACAAATAAAATGTTAATTTGAAAACAATACATTTAGAGACCGTATGGCTTTGTTGGTCTGCATACATTAAAAAGTTCATTACTCATAAGTATATGCGACCTCTACGACTTTAAATTCTTAGCATATATGTATATGTAAGTATAGGAGTCTCATTATGTTCATTTAAAAATAATGGTGTTGGAAATGACTAATGCGTATATCATTATTTCGCACAGTGTACACAATTTGTACTTCAGGAGGAGCAAACTGCTTCAAATAAATACATTTGTATAAATTCCGTAATTCGGCATCCTTATTGCCTCTTTATACAACTACGGAAGCTGTACATTTACTGTTATTTACTAAGTATGTATTGTGCAAAATATATTTCTACATTTGTATAATGTTTTAACAAATTTCATACTTATTGTGTGCTTACTGATCCCAGTTTTGAGTTGAATTCCTGGTAAAATATAAATTACAATGTATTAATTTAATAATTTGCATACACGTCTACTTCCTTTTTTTTTCTTTATGATATACAATATTTCTTTATGCTATATAAATATATTTTACAATATTATAAATAGATATAAATAGAGCCATGTTTATTATCCCTTACTTACAGTACTACATATTTCCTTACTCTCGAAGATAAAAATAGTTAATATTTCACAAACATTTTGTTACAAATTTTTAAAAAACAACGGTTGTAGTTGTAGTAAAACACTTTTTTTTTAAATTTGATTACTAATACATTTGGTTAAAAGTACTACGTAATTAGCTTAAGGCGGAAATGTACGAATATGCAAAAAATTGCGGAGTAAATATACTCGTACGACTGTGGAACTTATTCGAATGCGGAATAATTTAGTACGAGTACAAAATTTGTATAAATGTATGTCAAACACAGTTGTTTTTCTATTACTAGCAATACGACGCATCGGAAAATATTTTTTTTTCAGTCAGAATACATCTAAATTTGTTATTTCTTCTAAATCTATCTATCTTTCTACATTTAGTAACATAGAATTGATTGAGATACTGCGTGAGCGTCTGTTCAACATATTTGAAAGCAAATATTGCTTACTTTTAACAAGATATTTAAATATATTATATGATTACGATGTACGTCAATGAAATTCATTTTTTTGCACGAATTAATTTTTGCTACCCGCCCACAGCGGGGGAGTGGCATTATGGTCTACCATACGCGCAATAATATGTTTGTGAATCACTATTGACTAATAATGGTTTAGAGAAAGCAAGAATAATTTGAATAGTTGGTGTGACAAACCAATTTAAAGAAAAAAAAAAAATAGGTATACTTCATCAGCTTACATACAAACAAACCCACCCTCATATTCACCACATCCTTAAAGGATGATTTCTGGGATAAAAACTATCCTATGTCCTTTCCCGGGACTCAAGCAATCTCTATATAATTTTTATCTAAATCGGTTCAGCGTTTAAAGCGTCAACTGACTGTGTAACAGACAGACAGACACATTTTCGCATTTATAATATAAGTATGAAACATAAGTATGGGTATGGATGGGGTACCAAGGTACAATGTCAAATGAGTAATTAATTAAGGCAAAGTGGAAACATTTTATTTGTATTCAAATTTGTACTTGTTTTGTAAGATAGCGCGTACAGGACACGCACATACAAAGGTGTTTTTTTTTAATAGTTGTTAAATACTAATTGAGTTTATAATCTCCTTTGTACTGCTTATGATGCAATCATTTACACAAAGCAGTTACAGTGATTGTATTGAGAACAATAACTTTCATTTGTATTATATTTAAGAAGAAGAACAGAAGAGAAAAAAGCAGTTCACTATTTTTCTTTTTTATTTATTCTTTCAAATTGTAATCATATTAATAAGATAATTTTAATATATATATATAGCATTTCTTAAGCCAAGAAGGTTCATAATGAATGCTAAGGGTTAATCTAAATCGGTACAAAAAAATCTAAAAAAGATTACACAATTTTAAGTTTAATATATATGTAAATTTATTAGATTACACAAATAATAATGAGGTTGTTGCTAATAGTTTTACTTACAACTAATTATAAAGTTTTATTTATAAACTGTTAAAGTTATGTATCGATTTAAGTATGTAGGTAATTGTATATCCAAATTAAACATTGAACAATTTAATATTAGACTGAAATAAAATGTTAATTTGACTAAACTAATCAAAAAGTTATTTTGATACAAACAGTTTTACAATACGTGGAACAGTTTGTTACAATTGAAACGATTGCGAATAAAAATATGTTTTTGCGAAAAGTACCTACCTAACAGAAAGTCCAAGGTTAATAGCGTGGTGGTGTGCTATATTTTATTGTGAACTAATTTTATTCAAGACTAGCTGGTACCCGCGACTTCGATTCCCAGATCGGGCAAAATCGGGCGGGTTCTTCTGAGAGGAAAAATAGCTTAAGTTACTCCTTATATAGGCAGCTATCTGCTAGTAAAATATTATTATTATTAGATTACCCGGAAAAAACAGTCAGACAAAAAATATAAACTGGTTTTTAGGCATAGGTATCATGCAAATAAACGTCTGAGCATGAAAAAAACCTGTTATTTTGACATTACAAACTGACACTTCAAATTTATTTATTTGTATAGATAGGTAGAACAAAGATTTGTTACACAAAATATGTAAAGGCATTTCACAAGGACAAAAACGCAGATAGATAAATACAATGGGTATTAAGCTGTGAATTTTTACGATCATTTTAACTAATATTTAAAAAATTCAATGTCTTTTCTACTGTTTCACAAATTGTTATTTTTAATTTGTAAAATATTTTAACTTTTACAAAGTTATATTTAGATTATGCTTTCATTTCACTCGCGAACTTTAAACCTGTTACGAAAAGCAGAAGTACTTACTAGAAAGAAAAGAAAAAAGGAAAAAAGAAAAATTCTGAACACTTACTTGTAATCTGTATAGTACTGTACATTGTATTTTATCCAAAAAAAACACCAAATCTATTTACTACATGCTAGATAATTTTGTATTCTTAATACTCAGCCGTTGTTAATTTTGTAGTTTTATAATCCTATTATATTATATCTTCAGTGAGATTTACTTTGCAATGTCGTAAGCGATAACTAACAATTTTAGGAAAACATTTATTACAAAATAAAATACTTTTATACTTAGACCACACGACTGCTAAATAAAGGACTAAATGGGTACAATAGTCGTTTTTACGGGCAGATTTAAGTTTAATATGTGTGTGTATAAATGTATCTTCCTTTTTTTATTCTATCATAACTTCTAAATACAGAAACAGATTAGGACACATCGTTAGAATCTTTAAATAATCTCACTATTACTCTCTACTACTCATTTTTTAATTACTTAGTTTCAAAATTCAATATGGCGGGTACATTCTGAATTTACCTATATTATTTAAATCGTGGCAAGACAGCCGGTTTTTAACATTTTACGTGTTAATAATTACTTTTTACGTATTTATTTATTGCCTTATCATTATATTTAAAATAAAAACAAAAAACATTTCCAAATCTTTTATATTCATTTTATAGCTCTTGTCTATCTATAATTAAAACAATTATATTCCTATCCTAATCGAACTTGACTTGTTGAAATGCCTGTAAAATATTTTTAAATATTCACAATATGACTCCTTTTAATAAACGCTATTTTTAGACTTGCGATATAACAATAATTTGATTTATAACTCACCTCAGATGTTTCCGTATATTCTTCTCCGTGTTCATCTCTGTACGTGATATTAATGTTAGCGACCGTATACTTGTCGCTGACAAACCGCTCGTCGGTGGGTCCATACCTCACCGACTCCAGTTCATTTCCGGTGGAGTGACATCTGACCAGAGTCACAATCCACCCCAGCGCAGCCACCCGAGACCACAAACTTACACTCATTTTTAATTGCTTATACACATTCGATATCAATTAAAAAAAAAGTTACACCACACAAAGTAGCTGCTATAATTCGACTAACGGTCGATATGTTTTTAAACATTGGCAAACGAAGCGTTATTACAGTACGCAGCCACACACTAATTGGAATACACTACACACTATATCCACGTCTCGGCGGAACCGCGGCCGTCTGCCGTATGCCGCTAAATGAACAACGCGACTGAACCCGACACACACTTTATCAACCTGCTATCGGTTAACGAAAACAGTCGCAATTGTAAAGAAGGCGATAACGATATGTTATCATTCACAAAGTGACGAATAAAACAGCACTCGCACAACACTAGCTTCCTTCTGGAACTCTGTTTCGTGCTCTAACTTTTAAATGTCTTCGTGCGTTCCACTTTCAAAAGTCGACGATTTTTCTTTCGTGTCTATGCCTTTTTGTGTTTTGTTTATTGTTATCTGTGTTCTATAAAACTTATAAAGTCAATTGCTGCCCCATAACCGGCAAGGAACTTCACAGCATCAGGTAACTGAAACAATTAAATACTAACGTCATTAATTGGTAATGATTCGGTTCGTGGTTACGCATGCAAGTTTATTATAATACTTAATTTATAATTTCACATGTTTTAAACTATTAAGGGCTGCAAGTAACACTAGATGTGCCCAATTTGAAGGTTTGACTTATTATTATAACAAGAACCAATTCTGATGAATAACAAGAGTTTTAAGTTCTAGGAACGAGTAGTGACGTCACCGTTGCTTCAGGACATATAAATGACTGAAATTATTTAACATTGTAAAAAAAATGAAGGAGTCCGCGATTTTTTAAATATAATAATATTTACTCACCAAACTGATAACAACCTTCTCTGTGTCATTTAGTTTATGTTTTTATAACATGTTCGTATTTTCTTGACTTCACAAAGGAGGAGGTTATCAATTCGGATGTTTATTTTTATTGTTATGTATGTTCGATATATATATAGAAAATTCTTTTTTTGTTCGAAAGGGGTTTATTCCGAAAGATCCCATTTAAATTTGGTACAGATGTGATGACAAACAACGGTACTCTTAAAAAAATGACAGCAAATCTACCACGATTGTTTTAGTGCTCTTAGTCAGTATTGTTTGAAGTCGGTTTAACTTTTTTAAGAAGGCTTTCGTTGTGAAATAACACGTTTGAAATGAGAGAATAAGAGAGCCATGCTTCGGAATGTGCCGGCTCGACCAGTGATACGGCCTAATAGAAAACCGGTGTTAAGTATTTCTGCCGATGCTTTTCACTAAGTAAGTGAAGTTACTAGGCATGGAATAAAATCACAATTACGTGTGATCAATTATATGATTTTAAAATAATTTATATCACTCCTGTGAGTCATCTACAACATGACCGACTTATTATTACGTTAGCGAAAGTTAATCTAAAAAGGTCGGTTTAATTAATTTTGATGGCATTTATCTTTGTCTATGATCAAATCTGAGTAGTGATTTATCACAGCTGAAATCACAGTAACCAAAAGCAAACATTTCAACAAACAAACGATTTAGAAGTAGCAATAACTTCCGTCTAGAAGTTACGGCAGCCTAAATCTGAAGGGTAGGAGGACACAAAGGGCGCAACCCAATTGTGACACTTGGGTTTCAGGTGTTGATAAGCGGCGGTAGTCACTTACCATCAGAGGGCCTAGTGTGAGATTATTTTACTGGCGGGCCAATCGCAACGTCGAACGCGGTCACCGTGACCATCGAGTAGATGTGAAATAAACTCACACTTGGGCTTCAGATGACACCTTTGTTCGTTTGCCCTCCTACCATAAAAAAACCATCTAACGATCTTATATACGTGGTAATTAGAGCTATTATTCTACAAATAAATTTTAGTGTAACGTGTACCCAATCGTAAATGTAAACATTACTAAGTATTCAAGAATTATTTATGTCTGTCTAGTGAAATCGGAAGCACACGTTCACACGTTATTTTTTGTTACTCAATATAGACCAGCGCTATTAAAAACAACATGTATCAAACTATCAACCATTACCATAATTACAAGCAAGCAAACTGAATAATGAAATTATTTAATTACTTTAATACTAGTAATTACTGTTACTACAGATTTGACAGATATTTTTAACAGTTAAAACAAACAAATAAGAAGAACTTTTATATAAGAATTGAAATTGATATTGATGATTTTAACTAAAGTTTTTATTATATTATAAGGTTTTTATTTTTATTTAAGAAGTTGATGTAGTGTCATTCAGAGCATAGACCAGAAGTTAATAACTACTTAGAATATCGTCTCTAGTCGTTAATCGAAGTTTCGAATATATTTTATATTGGTATATTAACCATAAAGGTCGTAAGATACTTCCAAAGCCATAATTGTAAAGTATAAATGAATGAATTAATAATTAGTTATTTTATATATCTGTACCTTAGTATTGTGTTTTGTACAAAACGGGACACAAATCCTGTTTAAAAAACGATTAATTGAAGCGAAAACATATCAATATATCAATCTGTTTGATTTCAAAGATGAAATTTTCAGAATTTTGAGAACTTAATCAAACATTAATCTACATATATAAATCAGGTCGTCTTTAAATATGCCGGTAATTACCAAAAATAACTAAGGGCCGATTACCCGATACTAATTCCGGTATCGTCTACCGTAAACAAGAAATCCGAATAATAAATTAAGTAAGCAAGGTTTCCATCAAAACTCTGACAAATTATAATCAACGACTAGAAATTTGATAAACAATCTATTGATAGTCGTATCTTTTGTTTTGTAGTTCATAAGGTAGATGACACTAGGTCAGTGACCACAAGATGGCCTTAAAAGTACTGATGACATGAATCTTAATGTAACTTTATAATATAAACAATAAAATACATATACATACATAGAACTTCCAAACATAGCATCAATTTTAAGATTTAAAAAATCTTGAGTTGGATAATTGAGAAAGAGGTGCAAGTACAGGCTGTGCAAGACGTCTGTATCTTTTTATCGGTAGTATTCTGAAAAATTGCCAAGTTGAGCGCACCTGTAGTCTACGAGTGTGTATAAAAGAAGGGCTGTTAAATGTGGAAGAGGCCCAAGATGTATGAATGTTTTAAATGGCGTTTCTATAGTCTCTGTCTACTCCACAACGGTTAAAGGCGTGAATAACAAATAAACAATGCATATGATAGACACACATGTCTCTCATATGCATTTACAATGTTTTATATGAAAAACCGAACAAGTACATGCTAATTTTTTTTTAACTTTTGGATATTGACTTTTAAAACTTTTGGATATTGACTGTCTTAATATTATTGGGGCAAAAAGATTGTTTGTTTTCTACATGTCAATCTACGATCCACTTGTCAAGTTTGTACAAAAAGCTTTTGCGTTAAATAAGTCACTAAATAAGCGATATATAACAACATTAGGCATCTTTGTTAGCGGAAAAGGAACCTGCACGTTTAATGTAAATATATTAATAATAAAAAGTAAGTAAATATTATAAATGTGACGTAAATGTAAGTGAGAAGGTTAGTTTTACATTTGTTTAAGAGCCCTCATCCAAATTCATCTACATTCAGTATCTTAAGTGAATATTTGTACAATAAACAACACAATAATACATCGCCATTTGAATATCTTTTGACTTCCTCGGTGGTGCAGTGGTGGCGTATGCGACTGCTGTGTTTTATTTGAGTTTGGGCGTTTTGTTTATCAGCTGTCTGATTACAAACCAGGCAGAGCCTGTGCTATAGTAACCAGTCTGCTGATAAACATATTTATATATTTCTAAATACATGCATATTATAGATAAAGTACACCCAGACACAGAACAAATAATCGTGCTCATCACACAATTATTTGTCCTGGGTGGGAAACGAACCCACGACCTCTATGTATAAAATGTATGTATTTACAAAAAAAAAGTATATAAGAATGCTATCAGTCAATCTAGCTTGCATAAAACAAGCTCTGCTTAGTTTGAAACTAGATGGCGTTGTGTGTTAGATGTCCGAAATATTATAATATTAATGCCTCCCAGAATTAGGGGGTGGGGTCGCTTTTACTCGCTCGTTAAAAGCAACGAAAGAATTTCCTTAACACCGGCTATCTGTGAGGCCGAGGTATCACTCCGGTCGAACCTGGGTCATTTGTGACGAAACATGGCCCTCACACGGCTAAAGAACGTTGGTCGTTATTAAAACTCTAAAGCAGCGCCATAGCTATAGAGTTAATAACCATTATCGACTAAATATCAAATACTAGCTGACCCGCGCAACTTCGTCTGCGTCTCTCAATAGTAACAAATTTTCTCCGTTTTTGAAACATTCTTCATTGGTGCTCCGCTCCTATTGCTCTTAGCGTGATGATATATAGCCTATAGCCTTCCTCGATAAATGGGCTATCTAACACTGAAAGAATTTTTCAAATCGGACCAGTAGTTCCTGAGATTAGCGCGTTCAAACAAACAAACAAACAAACTCTTTAGCTTTATAATATTAGTATAGATTTATTTAGTAAACTAAGTTGCTCTGTCGCTAAACCAACATATGTGGAAAAAAAGTAGGTTAATTTGTCATATTCCACATGCCGAGCCTACAAGAGATTTGTAAAATAAAACAGTCAAACACAGAAAGTAATACACACATACATAGCTATACTCACGTTTTGGTGCTCTTAGGGGTAGATAGAGACGTAATTTCTAAGCTAATATATATGCATTTTAGATAAATAACACCCAGACACAGAACCAATGATTGCGCTCATCACACAACATTTGTCCTGAGTGGGCATCGAACGTAGGACCTCTGGCTTTACCAGTAGAATCGCTAACTATCAAACTACATGTCTTAAACGAATTTGAATATTCTAAGCCGAAGAAAACCAATAGTGTTGTCTCTTTTACACCTTAACTACTGAACCGATTACCGTAAAACTTAGACAATTTTGAAAACATAAAATTTAGACATTTTT